GTGAGAGAAGCTGTCAAAAAAGAAGAAAAAAGCATGGTTAGACTACTTGGCCTCTAGTAACGATAAGCACATGAGAGAGAAGATGAAAGAAAGATATAAGCTGCAGAAAGTTCATGCGAAAACATTGATTGAGGAAGTACGTGAAAGGTGTAGAACAGAAGCGGACGAGAGGTTGTCGCACAACTTTAAGGAAAACTCCAAACTCTTCTGGAAAGAGGTTGGAGGGTCCCGGAATGGTGCGACAGCCTTAAGAATGAACAAAGTGCTTTCGAGAACCAATGACGTCCTCTCAGAAAAATCGGACGTCATGCAGCGATGGAGTGAATTTTATAGAGAAATGTATGCGTGTCATGATCTTAGTGAAGGATCCGGGGGTAACGCCATGACTTGCACCCAGACACGGACCTCGATGACACTGAGGTCATCAGCATGAAAGAGATTGAACGTGCGATTCGAAATTTGAAATGTGGTAAGGCTGCGGGACTAGACAGAGTTACTGCCGAAATGGTCAAGTACGGTGGGCCTCGCGTCTGGGACAGCTTTCGTCTGCTGTGCAACTTGTGCTGGCGGACGGTAGATGTCCCGGATGATTGGCGATCCGCGGTCATTGTGCCTTTATATAAAGGTAAAGGTTCACATTTTGACTGCGGGTGCTTTCGGGCGATCAGCTTGACCAGTTTAGCAAGTAAAGTTTACTCGAAGGTTTTGACACGTAGGATGCAAGAGATTTCGGAAAGATACTTATGGGAGGCACAATGCGGATTTAGATCTGGAAGAGGATGCACGGATCAAATGTTTTCTCTCCGCATGATCACGGAAAAGCTTCTGAGTGTTAACCAGAGGATTTTCTGTGCTTTTGTGGATCTGGAGAAAGCATTTGATAAGGTTATATGGGCGGTGGGTGGAGTGGCTGGCAGTCACTTTCTATGACGCTGTCACCCATGTTTAGCGTCCAAGCGGGCGTAAAACAGGGTTGTGTCATGTCTTCCTGGCTGTTCATACTGTATCTCGACAGCTGTTTACAGAAGCTGAAAAATAGCTGTTTGGGTGTGAAATTGGGTGACATAAAAGTAAATTGTCTGCTGTATGCTGATGATGCAGTGCTTATTGCACCATCAGAAAGCTGCAGGCATTAGTCACGTGTATGAAAGAGGAATGTGAAATTAAAGGTCTCCGATTGAATGCTAATAAAACTAAGGTTCTGGTATTTGAAAAGGACGAAGAGAGAACGAAATGTGAAATATGGGTAAATCAGGAACGTCTAGAACAGGTAAATGAAATTGTATACTTGGGGAGTGCTTTCAGCCGGGACGGAAGATGTGATTTAGATGTGGATAGGCGCGTCGCTGCCGGAAACAAAGTCAATGGTGCCCTGAATGCATTAGTCAAAAGGCAAGGCGTGGTGAAGAGTGCACGCCTTGCAATACATAACGCAGTGTTGGTACCGACTTTGTTATATGGCAGCGAAACCTGGGTATGCCAGAAGAAGCATAAAAGCAAGTTGAATGCAGTGGAGATGCGATCTCTTCGTAAAATGTGTGGCGTTACCATAGCCGATCGAAAGCGAAACGAAGAGATTCGCAATATGGCAGGATTGAAAGATGACCTTATCACAAAAATTGATAGGGGCGTACTCCAATGGTTTGGGCACGTTGAGCGAATGAGTGAAGACCGAATGGTGAAGAAAATATATAGAGCGAAAGTAAATATTAAAAGGTGTCGAGGTAGACCGAGACTAACTTTCGAAGACCATGTGAGCAAATTGCTCGAAGAGGGGAAGGTCAAGAGTACTCGGATACCTAGACGTGCATGTATGAAGAAGTTAATGAACCTGAAAGAAGCGAAAGAGGTATGTAAGGATCGTGACACTTGGCGATCTGTTCTCTCTGGCTACCCCGTTAGGGATTGTGCGTGAAGATAAGTAAGTAAGTAAGTAAGTAGAATTTTAATATAGAGTCACACGTATTTAAATACTAACCTTACTTATTCTATTTAAATGAAACTAAATTTTACGGAGTTCATGGCGTATATTAAGTTTTTTTAACCTCATGGGACTAAAGTGTTTGACGTCCCAACGTCATAGTTCTTGCCTTCAGTCAGTATATATATAATGTTTGAAGTGCAATAAAGCTGTCTTCCATGAGTTCGGAACTACGTTTAGGAGTAGGAGTACCGAAAAAGACGCGTTAAAACGTTAAGACGATGAAAGCCAACTCCGGAGCACACGCCTTCAGCACAATAGGAGACACCATCAGGTCACTCAACAAACACCGCAAGATGGTCGGTGGTGTTTCCCCTGTCATTAAAAGTCGAGTTGAACCTAAAGAGAGAGCCCCCTGAGCCGTCATCCCTGTACAGAGATGGGAGAGATGGTTGACAGAAGTTCTCTTGAACAGCCTTGGCGAGAGACCAGAATGCAACATGTTCCCGAAGGAAGTCGAACTAATTTCTCGCCAATTCTACCGATGTTCCCCAACTTTGCTTTGGCAATGACACATTTGAAGGACCTGGAGGCCGAATTATACTTCTTTTTAAGAGCGCTGGTCCCGAGACGTCTATTCGTCGGCCCAGGCCCGGTAGCACTCCTACTTATGGTGTGATGCAAATTTGCTGAGGCAACCGAACCATTGCTGGGTTCTGCATTATAAATATACCACAGATGATGCAATAAAAAGTTCCATACCCTTTAGTACCTCATCAGCAACAACACTGGAATCATCCGGCGAGAAGCAAACAAGCCCCCAAGGGTAGGATGCAAGAAAGATCGCAACCCGTCCCAATCGTAACCTGACCTATTGTGCCTAACACGGCGGCAACCTGCAGAACGCAACCTCGATGGAAGCGTGAGTGGCACCGTACTCCGGATCAGACAATGGTCCGAGGAGCCAAGGAGAGCCCTGATATTCGTCTAGATGAGAGGTCAGTAAAAGGTCTAACAGGTAAGGTACATGATCTTCAACATCTGGGATCCACATAGGCGAGGTAACCAGTTGTGTCAGACCATATGCCAAAGAAAAGTCATAAACAGATCTACCCGCATGATCGGTTAAACGGGAACCAAACCATTCAGCATGGTGGGCATTAAAATCACCAAGCATCACGATCATGCGGATATGACCTGTAGTAGCACGGAGTCAGCAGCCATTTGGACGTGGTCGATGAATCGGTCTGTGTCGGCATTACCGCTATGAGACCTATATGATTGATATATGAGACGCGGGAATGATTGTCGCTGTCTACGCGCAGCCTTAGGATGGAAAGGTCCGTACCTTCAAGACTGTCGAGGCATCGTAACACGCAAACTCCAGCTCGGGGCACAAAAGAGTGTTCTAATTAGTACCCCGGGTAGGAGAGACATGCAGAAATTCACAGACAGCGTGGCAGGGGGCGCCATGATTTTATTGCTCCATTTGCCGCGAGCAGCCAAATTTCGCCCCCTCTCTCCTCAGAATACGCGGGACCGCCAAAGCACCCACGCTCAGGAAGAGTAGGGAGTAGGGGTGGCTTGGGCATAGGTGCTCAACTAGGGATTCTCCGTCACCTACTCTCCTGGGGTAGTATTCTATTTAGTTTCGCTACCGTGTTAAAGGGAGGGGGGAATTGGTCCTCCGGCCACCTGCACTCACTAGAAGAAATGCAGAAGCGGAGCTTCTACTTCACGCATGTCTTCTGTGAGGTCGTGGTATCACCCCGGTTCGAGAGAGCCCATATGTGCAACAGCAAAAGCTCCCGCGTTGCTCTACCACTGTTGAATGAGTGAATTCGGTTAAAATCTTACTAAAATGTAAGGTATGTATAGTCTTACACCTCTTGCAGTTAAATGTAATTAAAAAAGGAACTTGTTGATGTTTTCCCAAATTGTATTTTTTTTTTAAGATTGTCAAGCATTAGCTGTAAAGCGGAACTCTTATTTCTCTTCATTTCCATAAATTGTGATTTAACAAGGGACGGACAATGTGATGAGCAAATAAAGGAATTCGCATGCGCAAAAATCCATCTTTATAATTTATTTTACATAGCTATGGGACTAGTGGTGACGGAGTTAGTGCATGCAATTGAGGGAGGGCGGGAGGTGCTCTTCAATCCAGGTAAGACACATCATTGTATTTATTTAGCGGAAGGTTGCAAAGAAATTTATATTTTTATTTTTTATCATATAAATCAATCATCCTAGTCTGTTCCTGGGGTGACGTAATAGCCGACGAAATAGACTAGAGTAGCCATGATCAGATGAAATATCACCTGATGATACCCCGTTTAGCGGCGAAACTATATTATCAACGAAGGTTATCTTTTCAAGTCTAGTGGTATTGGGAGTAGGTAGTGGTGTTGGGAGTTGGTAGTGGTGTTGGGAGTTAGTAGTGGTGTTGGGAGTAGGTGGTGGTGTTGGGAGTATGTAGTGGTGTTGGGAGTAGGTAGTGGTATTGGGAGTAGGTATTGGTGTTGGGAGTTGGTAGTGGTGTTGGGAGTTGGTAGTGGTGTTGGGAGTTAGTAGTGGTGTTGTGAGTAGGTGGTGGTGTTGGGAGTAGGTGGTGGTGTTGGGAGTATGTAGTGGTGGTGGGAGTAGGTAGTGGTATTGGGAGTAGGTAGTGGTGTTGGGAGTTGGTAGTGGTGTTGGGAGTTAGTAGTAGTGTTGGGAGTAGGTGGTGGTGTTGGTAGTATGTAGTGGTGTTGGGAGTAGGTAGTGGTGTTGGGAGTAGGTAGTGGTGTTGAGAGTTGGTAGTGGTGTTGGGAGTTGGTAGTGGTGTTGGGAGTTAGTAGTGGTGTTGTGAGTAGGTGGTGGTGTTGGGAGTAGGTGGTGGTGTTGGGAGTATGTAGTAGTGGTGGGAATAGGTAGTGGTATTGGGAGTAGGTAGTGGTGTTGGGAGTTGGTTGTGGTGTTGGGAGTTAGTAGTAGTGTTGGGAGTAGGTGGTGGTGTTGGTAGTATGTAGTGGTGTTGAAAGTAGGTAGTGGTATTGGGAGCAGGTTGTGGTGTGAAGAGTAAGTTGTGGTGTTGGGATTAGGTAGTGGTGTTGGGAGTAGGTAGTGGTGTTGGGAGTAGGTAGTGGTGTTGGGAGTTAGTAGGAGGAGGAGTAGGTGGGAGTAGCGTTAGGAGCAGTGGCGTTGGGATTAATAGCGTTGGGATTGGGAGCAGTGGCGTTGGAAATAGTGGCGTTGGAAGCAGTGGCGTAGGGAGCAGTGGCGCAGGAAACAGTGGCATTGTGAGCAGCGGCGTGGGGGAGCAGTGTCGTGGGGAGCAGTGGCGTAGGGAGCAGTGGCGTGGGCAGTGGCGTGGAGAACAGTGGCGTGGGGAGCAGTGGCGTTGGGAGTAGCGGCGTGGTGAGCAGTGGCGTAGGGAGCCGTGGCGTTGGGAGAATTTGAGTTGAGAGCAGTGGCGTAGGGAGCAGCGGCGTGGGGGAGCAGTGGCGTGGAGAGCAGTGGCGTGAGGAGCAGTGGCGATGGGAGCAGTGGAGTAGGGAGCAGGGTCGTTGGGAGCATTGACGTTAGGAGCAGTGGTATTGGGAGCAGTGGTGTGGGGAGCAGTGGCATTGGGAGCAGTAAAGTTGAGGGCAGTGGCGTAGGGAGCAGTGGCGTGGAGAGCAGCGGCGTGGGGAGCAGTGGCGTGAGGAGCAGCAGCGTGGGGAGCAGTGGCGTGAGGAGCAGTGGCGTGAGGAGCAGTGGCGTGAGGAGCAGTAGCGTAGGGAGCAGTGGCGTAGGGAGCAGGGGCGTCGGGAGCAGTGACGTTGGGAGCAGTGGTGTGGGGACCAGTGGCATTGGAAGCAGTGAAGTTGAGGGCAGTGGCGTAGGGAGCAGTGGCGTGGGGAGCAGCGACTTGGGGAGCAGCGGAGTGGGGAGCAGCGGAGTGGGGAGCAGCGGCGTGGGGAGCAGCGACGTGGAGAGCAGCGACGTAGGGAGCAGCGACGTGGGGAGCAATGGCGTGAGGAGTAGTGGCGTGGGGAGCAGTGGCATTGGGAGCAGTGGCGTAGGGAGCAGTGGCGTAGGGAGCAGGGGCGTTGGGAGCAGTGACGTTGGGAGCAGTGGTGTGGGGAGCAGTGGCATTGGGAGCAGTGAAGTTGAGGGCAGTGGTGTAGGGGCAGTGGCGTGGGGAGCAGTGGCGTAGGGAGCAGTGGCGTAGGGAGCAGGGGCGTTGGGAGCAGTGACGTTGGGAGCAGTGGTGTGGGGAGCAGTGGCATTGGGAGCAGTGAAGTTGAGGGTAGTGGTGTAGGGGCAGTGGCGTGGGGAGCAGCGGCGTGGGCAACACCAGCGTAGGGAGCAGCGGCTTGGGGAGCAGTGGAGTTGAAAGCAGTGACGTAGGGAGCAGTGGCGTAGGGAGCAGGGGCGTTGGGAGCAATGACGTTGGGAGCAGTGGTATGGGGAGCAGTGAAGTTGAGGGCAGTGGCGTAGGGAGCAGTGGCGTGGGGAGCAGTGGCGTGGGGAGCAGTGGCGTGGGGAGCAGTGGCGTGGGGAGCAGCGGCGTGGGGAGCAGTGGCGTGAGGAACAATGGCGTAGGGAGCGGTGGCGTTGGGAAAAGTGCAGTTGAGAGCGGTGGCGTAGCGCCACTGCTACAGTGGCGTAGGGAGCTTTGGCGTTGGGAGAATTTGAGTTGAGAGCAGTGGCTTAGAGAGCAGTGGTGTGGGGAGCAGCGGCGTGGGGAGCAGCGGCGTGGGAGCAGCGGTGGGGACCAGGTGAGGGAGTGGCGTAGAGAGCAGTGGCGTTGGGAGCAGTGGAGTTGAGAGCAGCGACGTTGGGAGCAGTGGTGTGGGGAACAGCGGCGTGGGGAGCAGTGGCGTGGAGAGCAGCGGCGTGGGGAGCAGCAACGTGGGGATCAGTGGCGTTGGGAGCATACCGTGGGGACCAGTGGCATTGGGAGCAGTGAAGTTGAGAGCAGTGGCGTAGGGAGCAGTGGCGTGGGAAGCAGCGGCTTGGGGAGCAGCGGAGTGGGGAGCAGCGGAGTGGGGAGCAGCGGCGTGGGGAGCAGCGGAGTGGGGAGCAGCGACGTGGGGAGCAGCGACGTGGGGAGCAATGGCGTGAGGAGCAGTGGCGTTGGGAGCAGTGGCGTGGGGGACAGCGGCATTGGGAGCAGTGGCGTAGGGAGCAGGGGCGTTGGGAGCAGTGACGTTGGGAGCAGTGGTGTGGGGAGCTGTGGCATTGGGAGCAGTGAAGTTGAGGGCAGTGGCGTAGGGGCAGTGGCGTGGGGAGCACGCGTGGGGAGCATGGCGTGTGAAGCAGCGGCGTGGGGAGCAGTGGCGTGAGGAGCACTGGCGTAGGGAGCGGTGGCGTTGGGGGCAGTGCAGTTGAGAGCAGTGGCGTAGGGAGCAGTGGTGTGGGGAGCAGCGGCGTGGGGAGCAGTGGCGTTGGGAGCAGTGCGTGGGGAGCAGCGGCGTTGGGAGCAGTGGAGTTGAGGACAGTATGTGGGGAGCAGCAGCGTGGGGAGCGTGGAGTGGGGAGCAGTGGCGTGGGGAGCAGTGACGTAGGGACCAGGGGCATTGGGAGCATTGTCGTTGGGAGCAGTGGCGTGGGGAGCAGTGGCATTGGGAGCAGTGAAGTTGAGGGCAGTGGCGTAGGGGCAGTGGCGTGGGGAGCAGTGGCGTAGGGAGCAGTGGCGTAGGGAGCAGGGGCGTTGGGAGCAGTGACGTTGGGAGCAGTGGTGTGGGGAGCAGTGGCATTGGGAGCAGTGAAGTTGAGGGTAGTGGTGTAGGGGCAGTGGCGTGGGGAGCAGCGGCGTGGGCAACACCAGCGTAGGGAGCAGTGGCTTTGGGAGCAGTGGAGTTGAGAGCAGTGACGTCGGGAGCAGTGGCGTAGGGAGCAGGGGCGTTGGGAGCAATGACGTTGGGAGCAGTGGTATGGGGAGCAGGAAGTTGAGGGCAGTGGCGTAGGGAGCAGCGGCGTGGGGAGCAGTGGCGTGGGGAGCAGTGGCGTGGGGAGCAGTGGCGTGGGGAGCAGCGGCGTGGGGAGCAGTGGCGTGAGGAACAATGGCGTAGGGAGCGGTGGCGTTGGGAAAAGTGCAGTTGAGAGCGGTGGCGTAGCGCCACTGCTACAGTGGCGTAGGGAGCTTTGGCGTTGGGAGAATTTGAGTTGAGAGCAGTGGCTTAGAGAGCAGTGGTGTGGGGAGCAGCGGCGTGGGGAGCAGCGGCGTGGGGAGCAGCGGCGTGGGGACCAGTGGCGTGAGGAGCAGTGGCATTGGGAGCAGTGGAGTTGAGAACAGTGGAGTTGAGAGCAGCGACGTTGGGAGCAGTGGTGTGGGGAACAGCGGCGTGGGGAGCAGTGGCGTGGAGAGCAGTGGCGTGGGGAGCAGCAACGTGGGGATCAGTGGCGTTGGGAGCATACCGTGGGGACCAGTGGCATTGGGAGCAGTGAAGTTGAGGGCAGTGGCGTAGGGAGCAGTGGCGTGGGAAGCAGCGGCTTGGGGAGCAGCGGAGTGGGGAGCAGCGGAGTGGGGACCAGCGGCGTGGGGAGCAGCGGAGTGGGGAGCAGCGACGTGGGGAGCAGCGACGTGGGGAGCAATGGCGTGAGGAGCAGTGGCGTTGGGAGCAGTGGCGTGGGGAGCAGCGGCATTGGGAGCAGTGGCGTAGGGAGCAGGGGCGTTGGGAGCAGTGACGTTGGGAGCAGTGGTGTGGGGAGCTGTGGCATTGGGAGCAGTGAAGTTGAGGGCAGTGGCGTAGGGGCAGTGGCGTGGGGAGCAGCGGCGTGGGGAGCAGTGGCGTGTGGAGCAGCGGCGTGGGGAGCAGTGGCGTGAGGAGCACTGGCGTAGGGAGCAGTGGCGTTGGGGGCAGTGGAGTTGAGAGCAGTGGCGTAGGGAGCAGTGGTGTGGGGAGCAGCGGCGTGGGGAGCAGTGGCGTTGGGAGCAGTGGCGTGGGGAGCAGCGGCATTGGGAGCAGTGGAGTTGAGAACAGTATTGTGGGGAGCAGCAGCGTGGGGAGCGTGGAGTGGGGAGCAGTGGCGTGGGTAGCAGTGGCGTAGGGACTAGGGGCATTGGGAGCATTGTCGTTGGGAGCAGTGGCGTGGGGAGCGGTGGCATTGGGAGCAGTGAAGTTGAGGGCAGTGGCGTAGGGGCAGTGGCGTGGGGAGCAGTGGCGTAGGGAGGGGATTGGGAGCAGTGTCGTTGGGAGCAGTGGCGTGGGGAGCAGCGGCATTGGGAGCAGTGAAGTTGAGGGCAGTGGCGTAGGGGCAGTGGCGTGGGGAGCAGCGGCGTGGGGAGCAGTGGCGTGTGGAGCAGCGTCGTGGGGAGCAGTGGCGTGAGGAGCAGTGGCGTAAGGAGCGGTGGCGTTGGAGGCAGTGGAGTTGAGAACAGTGGCGTAGGGAGCCGTGGTGTGGGGAGCAGCGGCGTGGGGAGCAGTGGCGTGGGAGCAGTGGCGTGAGGAGCAGCGGCATTGGGAGCAGTGGAGTTGAGAGCAGCGACGTTGGGAGCAGTGGCGTGGGGAGCAGTGGCGTAGGGAGCAGTGGCGTGGGGAACAGTGGCGTGGGGAACAGTGACGTAGGGAGCAATGGCTTGGGGAGCAGTGGAGTTGGGAGCAGTGATGTGGGGAGTAGTGGCGTAGGGAGCAGTGGCGTGGGGAGCAGTGGCATTGGGAGCAGTGAAGTTGAGGGCAGTGGCGTAGGGAGCAGTGGCGTGGGGAGCAACGGCGTGGGGAGCAGCGGAGTAGGGAGCAGCGGCGTGGGGAGCAGCGGCGTGGGGAACACCGAGTGGGGAACAGCGACGTAGGGAGCAATGGCTTGGGGAGCAGTGGAGTTGGGAGCAGTGATGTGGGGAGCAGCGGCGTAGGGAGCAGTGGCGTGGGGAGCAGTGGCGTGGGGAGCAGTGGCGTGGGGAGCAGCGGCGTGGGGAGCAGTGGCGTTGGGAGCATAGCGTGAGGAGTAGTGGCGTGAGAAGCAGTGGCGTAGGGAGCAATGGCGTAGGGAGCAGGGGCGTTGGGAGCAGTGATGTTGGGAGCAGTGGTGTGGGGAGCAGTGGCGTTGGGAGCAGTGGCGTGGGGATACACCAGCGTGGGGAACAGTGATGTAGGGAGCAATGGCTTGGGGAGCAGTGGAGTTGGGAGCAGTGATGTGGGGAGCAGCGACGTTGGGAGCAGTGGTGTGGGGAGCAGCGGCGTCGGGAGCAGTGGCGTGGAGAGCAGTGGCGTGGGGAGCAGCAACGTGGGGAGCAGCGGCGTTGGGAGCATACCGTGGGGACCAGTGGCATTGGGAGCAGTGAAGTTGAGGGCAGTGGCGTAGGGAGCAGTGGCGTGGGAAGCAGCGGCTTGGGGAGCAGCGGAGTGGGGAGCAGTGGCGTGGGGAGCAGCGGAGTGGGGAGCAGCGGAGTGGGGAGCAGCGACGTGGGGAGCAGCGACGTGGGGAGCATTGTCGTGCGGAGCAGCGGCGTTGGGAGCAGTGGCGTGGAGAGCAGCGGCATTGGGAGCAGTGGCGTGGGGAGCAGCGGCGTGGGGAGCAGTGGCGTTGGGAGCAGTGGTGTGGGGAGCAGCGGCATTGGGAGCAGTGGAGTTGAGAACAGTATTGTGGGGAGCAGCAGCGTGGGGAGCGTGGAGTGGGGAGCAGTGGCGTGGGTAGCAGTGGCGTAGGGACTAGGGGCATTGGGAGCAGTGTCGTTGGGAGCAGTGGCGTGGGGAGCAGTGGCATTGGGAGCAGTGAAGTTGAGGGCAGTGGCGTAGGGGCAGTGGTGTGGGGAGCAGTGGCGTAGGGACTAGGGGCATTGGGAGCAGTGTCGTTGGGAGCAGTGGCGTGGGGAGCAGTGGCATTGGGAGCAGTGAAGTTGAGGGCAGTGGTGTAGGGGCAGTGGCGTGGGGGAGCAGTGGCGTGGGACTAGGGGCATTGGGAGCAGTGGCGTGGGGAGCAGTGGCATTGGGAGCAGTGAAGTTGAGGGCAGTGGTGTAGGGGCAGTGGCGTGGGGAGCAGTGGCGTTGGGAGCAGTGGAGTCGGGAGCAGTGTCGTTGGGAGCAGTGGTGTGGGGAGCAGTGGCATTGGGAGCAGTGAAGTTGAGGGCAGTGGCGTAGGGGCAGTGGCGTGGGGAGCAGCGGCGTGGGGAGCAGTGGCGTGTGGAGCAGCGTCGTGGGGAGCAGTGGCGTGAGGAGCAGTGGCGCAAGGAGCGGTGGCGTTGGAGGCAGTGGAGTTGAGAACAGTGGCGTAGGGAGCCGTGGTGTAGGGAGCAGCGGCGTGGGGAGCAGCGGCGTGAGGAGCAGTGGCATTGGGAGCAGTGGAGTTGAGAGCAGCGACGTTGGGAGCAGTGGCGTGGGGAGCAGTGGCGTAGGGAGCAGTGGCGTGGGGAACACCAGCGTGGGGAACAGTGACGTAGGGAGCAATGGCTTGGGGAGCAGTGGAGTTGGGAGCAGTGATGTGGGGAGCAGCGGCGTAGCGAGCAGTGGCGTGGGGAGCAGTGGCGTGGGGAGCAGTGGCGTGGGGAGCAGCGGCGTGGGGAGCAGTGGCGTTGGGAGCATAGCGTGAGGAGTAGTGGCGTGAGAAGCAGTGGCGTAGGGAGCAATGGCGTAGGGAGCAGGGGCGTTGGGAGCAGTGACGTTGGGAGTAGTGGTGTGGGGAGCAGCGGCATTGGGAGCAGTGAAGTTGAGGGCAGTGGCGTAGGGAGCAGTGGCGTGGGGAGCAACGGCGTGGGGAGCAGCGGAGTAGGGAGCAGCGGCGTGGGGAGCAGCGGAGTGGGGAGCAGCGACGTTGGGAGAAATGGCGTGAGGAGCAGTGGCGTAGGGAGCAGTGGCGTGGGGAACACCAGCGTGGGGAACAGTGACGTAGGGAGCAGTAGCTTTGGGAGCAGTGGCGTGGGGAGCAGTGGCGTGGAGAGCAGCGGCGTGGGGAGCAGTGGCGTTGGGAGCATAGCGTGGGGAGCAGTGGCGTGAGAAGCAGTGGCGTAGGGAGCAATGGCGTAGGGAGCAGGGGCGTTGGGAGCAGTGACGTTGGGAGTAGTGGTGTGGGGAGTAGTGGTGTGGGGAGTAGTGGTGTGGGGAGTAGTGGTGTGGGGAGCAGTGGCATTGGGAGCAGTGAAGTTGAGGGCAGTGGCGTAGGGAGCAGTGGCTTGGGGAGCAACGGCGTGGGGAGCAGCGGAGTAGGGAGCAGCGGCGTGAGGAGCAGCGGAGTGGGGAGCAGCGACGTTGGGAGCAATGGCGTGAGGAGCAGTGGCGTTGGTGGGTAGAGCAGTGGCGTAGGGAGCAGTGGTGTAGGGAGCAGCGGCGTGGGGAGCAGCGGAGTTGAGAGCAGTGGCGTAGGGAGCAGTGGTGTGGGGGCGTAGCGACGTTGGGAGCAGTGGCGTGGGGGGGGTACACCAACGTGGGGAGCAGTGACGTAGGGAGCAGTGGCGTTGGGAACAGTGGAGTTTAGAGCAGTGAGTTGGGGAGTGATGTGGGGAGCAGTGGGTAGGGAGCAGTGGGAGGAGCAGGGGTAGGGAGCAGTGGCGTAGGGAGCAGTGGCGTTGGGAGTAGTGGTGACAGGTATAGCGGATTGGGGAAGTGCGGGAGGTGCTCTTCAAACTAGGTAAGACACGTAATTTTATTTCATAACGCGGATGTTAGCTAATTAATTTTTGACATATTTAATAATTGATGAAGTAACGCCTGATTCTGATTCTACTAATACTCTCTTAATCGTCTCATAGCTTCTAATAGATGACGGCGTATCATCACATTTCCCTCAGACACAAAATACCAAGACCGCCGACAAGGAGCAGCGTCAAAAGTGTGAGACGTCAGAAATTGCGTCGCGTCGTCGTCGTCAAACCGCCTGCCAAGGTTGGGGACTTCCTACAACGCGGGAGAGGCTCGTGTCTAGCTGGTTTACTTTTATGATACGGAAAAATAAAGAAGAGTACCTATATTATAAGATGGAAAAGTAAGTTTAAAACAACACATTTTGTAAATATTATCTTTATTTTTGAAGATAAGTTCTTTTCTACATTGCTAGGTTCGGGAATTATATAAACAAAAACAACTGTTGTCAAAATTAATAATAAAATTTATTATGTTATAAATTTCAAAAAATCATTCGATTCCATCGGGAATCCTGTTCCTTCAATTAGCAGTAGGTACTTATTATTTTCTAAAAGCCTGCGAGAATATAGTAGTTATTTATCTTTATATTATGGAATTATTGTAATCATAAATTAATTTCAGCAAAATTCGCGCCACTCTTCAAAGCTAAAAGTTAGACGATGCTTGTGCTCACATGTTAGTCACATTTATTTTACTTTTGATTTTGATAGTACTATAGTAAGTGTTAAAATTAAGCAATTTTTATTATAAGCTTTTATTTAAATTGTTTTTTTCGTATGTCTTTCCAGTTCAAAATTAGTAATACATTTTTGAATTTTTTAAAAAATAAGTGAAGTTATAGTCATATATATATAGTTATATATACTTAATATAGCCATATTTATAATAGATTTATTTTTTAAATGTCTCTCCAAGCCAAACATGATGTTATGAACTGATTAAAATTCTTGTGATAGCGTGTTTGCCATGTTGCCATGTTTATGGGACAAAATATCTTAGGTGGTATTTTCCCAACTAAATTGACCTTTGTTTTTCACAGTACGGGCTAGTTCGTAAAGTACATCTTATTAACGCCCGTAATTCGGTCGATGTAATATAAATTTTTCATTCCAGTGCTACGTTGATACTAGCAACAGGATTCCCTGCAATGTTGCCATCCAATTTATATTAAACTACGTATTTTACTGAGACATTGGCACATTATAGTGATCACATAATACTCATTTTTTGATATAATTAATATAAATTATTAAGTAATACATTCTTTACAAAAGCATTAGATACATTTAGCTCTGCTAACGAAATTCGCACAAGATAAAAAATGTTAGATAATAGCAATTACAAATAAGTTCAAAATGTTTTAATATTGGAACCGTGTAAAAATAAGTGGCTCTACAAGGACTTCTGGTTCATATGCCATCTACTAGAGCCATCATTTGTAAAAACCGGCCAAGAGCGTGTCGGGCCACGTTCAGTGTAGGGTTCCGTAGTTTCCCGTCCGTCACAATAAGTGTTCCCACTTATGAGTTTAAAGGTGGGTATCCATTATGTTCGCGCTCCAGCAGCCCTCCGCGCTCCTGCAACTGCTCCCGGTAGTGGGTACTGTTGTTTCCATCCAAGTTCAAAATGATTTTCCTAGAAAGTCCTTATAAAGTTCTACTTTTCAGATTTTTTTCATATTTTCTAAACTTATGGTTCAAAAGTTAGAGGGGGGGACACATTGCTTTTTACTTTTGGAGCGATTATTTCCGAAATTATTGACGTTATCAAAAAATGATTTTAGTAAACCCCTATTCATTTTTAAATACCTTTCCAACAATATATCACACGTTAGGTTTGAAATTAAAAAAAAATCACTTCCCACTTTACATATAGGGGGGCTACCCTAATAAATAAAAATTTCCAATTTTTATGTTACCACTTTGTCGGCGTGATTGATACACATATTGGTACCAAATTTCAGCTTTCTAGTGCTAACGGTCACAGAGATTAAGTGAGGACGGACAGACGGACAGACAGACATGGCGAAACTATAAGGGTTCCTAGTTGACTACGGAACCCTAAAAAAGAAAAAAAAACACTTTTTAATATTGAGTTCTGAGGTCTTGCTCATTTGTAATTGCACTGTAATCGGACGAAAAAAAATTCTATATATACAAGGAGTAGATCCTTGTTGTGCATGACGAAGCAAGGCAAGCTGTTTGGTTCGAATGTGCTGTCAACAACAAAGGGGTGAAGACTGGTCGAGCATCTGGTTGTCCATTGGTGAAAGGGTAAGAAAGAAATTAAGTTATGCAATTCCTGCCTACAATCTTCGAAATGTATCTTTTGGAACACCCGAAAGGCTGGCTACTTTGCACCTGTGCTCGAAACTAGTAAGTTTGGCTTTAACCAGATTCAGGTCACCAATAAGCTTTAACCAGATTTAGGTCACCAATAATATCACGCACTCCTTTCCATTGAGTGTAAAGCCGCTCGGTGGCATTTTGAAGCACCAGCCTATATAGGGAAGCAATTCTCCATGCACGACCAGACTTGCGCCTTATATAGAGAATGCAGCTGTCTGGGCGTGAAATATGTAATAATGAACTTTGCAAGGCCACCTTGCAGCTGCTTTAGCCCTACAACGATCTAATGTTCAGTTTTGAGGAAATCTCAGCCCCCGAGAACTAAAAGTGATCGGTGTATTCCATTGACACATTTCGGGAAGAAAGGGCCGTGATGATCTGGGGCGTTTATGCGGCGAAAAAACATAATATTATTTATGTTAATAAACTTTATCAACAGACAGTTTACAGAATTATTACACCACACAAACATTAGAAGCGTAATTTATCGTAAGTGGCTAACTACGATAGCTAAATAAATTTTAACTTACGTAAAGATAAAGTTACTTAAAAGAGCAAAAAGCAAAATTTAAATTATATCTTAATTTAGCCAACCTCACATGAGCGAATTTCCTTTGCAGAACTAAAAGAGCACAACTCTTACCAAACAATATTAAAATTCACAGGGTATTAACTTGCTATACATTCACATATCTATCAACATTTAGATTAGAACAATATCAAACGTTCATATAAAAATCTACAAACGGACATAATAAAAATATGTCACACCTATTTACGCTCATCTAACAAATGTATGAATACACTATAATGTTTGAGGCACAACTTCATCAAATTCAACATGTGTCAGTACGGGATACGGACACTGGGCTCACAGGAAATTTAAAGCACCTATACTTACTATAGAAATACTGTCATTAGCCTTATACTAGCAAAATACTTGCCACAAACTAGCCATCGATAACAAAATTTATTTTTCACTCTTGTAACAAGTCAAAGGTTCATGAAGGTAATGTTTTCCAGTATACTTTCAATTCGATGTTGCATTGAGATCCACAACTTTCTCTACCACCAGGGTGATTACCACTAGGAATGAGGTGAAATATTTGACTTTAATGTTATCGGAAAATGTAAGGGTCAATGTTTCTTTCTAAAATATTAGATATATTTTATATTAATTACATTAGAATTCGATAAACCTAACTACAGATTAAAAATAAAAAATATAGTAAAAATGTGCAAAAAATCGAAGAGCATACTCTAGAAAACAATAAATCTTTAATTAAAATGCCACTTTTCAATTATAACAGCGTTGTGTAACAAATAACTTCTCCTCATTCCCAACATCTGATGTGCGAAAGAATATTAGCTCTCATTATACAATTTAATTTTAAATATTTGTATTTGTATCTGAATGAGGTCATAAAATGGATTTCATAGCCAATGCATTACCTCAGACCTAAGGGACATAATTTATATTATACTACATTGAACATAGAATAGAATTGAAAATCATGAATAGAAATTAAACTAAAGCCCATAGGAAATGTCTCTAAAGAAACCTTTAAGAACAATTTTAATACACATTATTATTAAAAATTTAAATAAACTTTTAAAAATACTAGACAAAGTTCTATTTTGACACTCATTGGTATGCTTAAAGTTAAATGCAAGTTCAACAGGAAGTATAAAATTATATTATTATAACCACAGGCTTTACTTATGTGTTAAGCATAACATAATGTAATATTATTTATTTACTTAGTACAAATGTTCTGTCAAAAATACCACCAAATATAGTATTTTAATATCGTAAAGACATTTTCACTATTGCATATTTCATTGAACGGTTTCTTATTTTAATGTGCTTCACAAATACGGCAATTATACTTTTTGTATACAGTAATAAGACTAAGGCAATATTTAAACATTTAATGACAATTTAAGGAAGACAGACCACAGCACAGCAAAACACAGTTTTACCTCTTCATTAAACAAGATCTCAATAAGCATTAAAAACAGTAAAACTTTAAGAGCATCTAATGCACAGACAGTGAGTTTATCATTGTTATAATATTTGAAAATCTCAAATTGAATAAGGTACCTTCTTTATGCTATATTATATTGTGCACAAAAAAAGAAAAATGTGTATGTATGTCAAGGTAAAATAAAGTGAACAGCAGACACATAATTTTTCATGGCTGAATGAGCTAAGATCCCTTTGTCTTCCCTGCACAAGAAAATATTACAAAAAATGTATGCACACAAATGATTAGTCATGTTTTTACATAATAGGAAATTTGACCACAGGTGATACTAGAAAAAGGTTCTTAAGGGTTTTTTAAAGAAATATTTATATACTCTGGTCTTATCCAATTTTCTATGAATATAAAAATGTTTCACTTCCTTACATTTAAAATTATTACATATTTA